TTCAGGTGCCCCTGCTTCAGACTCCAAGTTATTTTATCCAAGGATAGGATTGATACCTCACAAATAGGAAGTGCATTCAAGTTATATAACTATTTACATGAATGAGAGTGAAGGAAACTTTAAAACACTGCGCAAACAGAATTATGAACAAACTTGTAATTGTCATTCATATTACAGCTTCTTATCGTTTACTCAAGGCACAAAACTCTTCTGGTTATTAACTATCCCCCAAAATTACATAGTCTGTTAGTTACCACCACCTATAAAATGGAAAAGTATTCTTATATAAAAATTATCGTGCAATGTGTTCTTTAAGATAGTTGTAGGAAGCAATGTTCCTTTATACACTTTATTTTCACTGAAACTCTATTGGTGACTAAGCACAATATACATGATCAGACTATTTAAAAATCCTTACAGGGTACACTCTGCACTTGAATAGCACACTTAGCTGTGCATCGGACCTGAAGTTTGTGCTCACATCCATCCTTAGCTAAATTGTTGCTGCCTTCCTTCTACATAAAGAAAATAAATGTCTACAACAAAAATAAATCAATGGTGAACAGAAATTCAATTATAAGCACCGATGTTATAACTTTTGTATAATTCAGATCCACATATACACAGCAAGGGAACAGTAGCTCATCAGAGCTGGAGTGTATTTGAATATTTTACAGTGCCCCCAAAAGACCATAAAGATATTATTTGTCTCTTGTGAAAATCCTCCAAAAGGAGTTCAAATTAAAATGTCATTTCTGATTTTGTCCAATATAGGTAAATTCTCCCATTAAAAATATGCCTTGCATCTCCATGAGTTACTTCTGAACTGGGAGGAGTTGATCAAATTCCTCTATCAGCTCAATAAACTAGAAGAAAAATCCCACAAGCTTTTCATGGTACAACGGATAAAGAGAGTTAAAAATCTGAACCATCACTTTGACATTTTTCCATTTAAAAAGCATTAGAACAGGGTTATTTACTTGCAGTGCCTTTAAATCACATTATATAATAGCTGTGTCTTAAAATAATGTGCCTGTAATAATATGCCAGATTGTTCGGTGAGCTACATAAATTTAGAGGACTTCACATTTAACTTCCAAGTATTTGACTACCTAGTAAAGATGAATGAGTAACAGCCGTGTTAGTCTGTATTCGCAAAAAGAAAAGGAGTACTTGTGGCACCTTAGAGACTAACCAATTTATTTGAGCATAAGCTGAAGTGAGCTGTAGCTCAGTTCATCGGATGCATACTGTGGAAAATACAGAAGATGTTCTTATACATACAAACCATGAAAAAATGGGTGTTTACCACTACAAAAGGTTTTCTCTCCCCCCACCCCACTCTCCCTGCTGGTAATAGCTTATCTAAAGTGATCACTCTCCTTACAATGTGTATGATAATCAAGCTGGACCATTTGCAGTAGTACAGTCTACTGATCTGGTCATTAAAGAAAAAGATAGGATAAATATGATATTGGCTTAGTGATGTGGAGCTCTATTCAGAAACATCCAGGATCAACTAAGCATTGTCCATCTAAATGAGACTTGTTCATGTTTGGTATCTTAAGCCCATTTTCGGTTTTAAAATTTCAAGATCAGCATAAAAGTCTGAATAATTTGCACATCACAAGCTTTTGCATCCTGCATGCTGTTAAGTATATAGATCAGCCCTTAAGGCATGCTAGCTCACTTGAAAGACATGCATGACAGATACTTGAATCCTTTTTTGGCCTGCATTTTCAAAATGATTTACAGAATTATATCTAGTAGTTGCAGTTTCCAGTCTATTGTGTGATGTGACTGCTATCAAGGCGGATGCTATCAAACTCACCTTAGAAATTATACAGCATCCATCTGATGAGGGGGTTTTATAAGATATTGTTTTAATATTTAGAAACAAGTTCTCCATTCATTATATAAGTAAAAGGTAACATTATGTGAGACTCTGTTACCATTGTATGTATTGTTGGCTATTCCATGAGTGTAAAGTGATCCAGAACCTCATGGAACTGAGGGCATTGTTTGTGGGGGAGTGGATTGAGTGAGGCTGGTTTTCACTAATAAGTGCTTCCAAAGACAGATTTCAAAAAGTGATTACAACAGCCTTCCATTTACATAGCATCTTTCAACCTGAAGGATCCCAATGTGCTTTCTAAGCTCTAGTGGTCCCTCACCCTCTAGTAGGGAGGATTTCCAATAAAACCTTACTACTGGCTGACTGCAAGTAACAGTCTTATAGGGGAGAGCTCCAGCTCCCTGTGTGGGGTGAGGCACAACAGTCCTTAACCCACAGCCACCTAGCTGGGGAAGACAGTAATTAACAGCCTATAATTAACAGGAAGCTCTGGCCCTCTGGGCAAGGCAGAGCCGCAATCAGTCTTAAGCCGTCAGCCACCTGGCTGGGGCAGACAACACACAGGGCCTTCTGGCCTAGGAGCGAATAGGCTGCTACCCAAGGGGTGGGGGCTCGCAGCAGGGGGTAGGGGAACCCAGGCCCACCCAACTTCACTGGGTCCCTGCCCAGGGCCTTAACAGTGGCAGAGTGCTCCACCACTGGGTCAGTGGGGAATCCAGACAACACACTGACTTACACTCACACAGCAGAACTGGACTAGAGTCTCATCCCCCTGGACTATTTCCTACCAGAGTCTGAGTGTAGGGGCCCATGGTCCAAAAAAATCCCCTGTCTCCTCATGGTATTCAGCCACTGGTATCCCCCGGCGGTCCTCATCTGCATCCCCTGATGGCGGGACTGGGCTAGGCTTGGCTCTTGTAGGAGCATTTGCTCCATAGAAGAGACCTCCACTCTCCTGTGGCTCAGCAGCAACTGAGGTCCAGGGCTCTCCTTCTCTACTTCCTGTCCCGCCCTGGTACTTCCAGTGAGTGGGGTGGGGTGGATTTGGCTCTGCCCACCCAGGGGAGGGAAGTCAGTCTGTCTCACTACATAAGCTTAAACAGCTGTACATTGCATTTGATCCACCACTGAAGTGCAGCTGTCTCTAGGGTGGAAGGCAACAACTGCTTAACTATGCATATTCACACTAAACTGTGGGTTCAAGAGAGTCTGAAATGAAGAATAACTTAATAAATTGAAACTGTAAGGAAAATTTAGAAATGGAAAATTTAATTGCCATGTAATAATAATACCAAAGTCAGAATTTGGCTTGGATTCCATAGCTAATACCTCTGCTCCTCTCTGTAGTGACGTTGGATTTTTAGTAGCCAGAAGTGGTTAGAACTTGGTTTGTATCCTCTAAAAGATTCTACATTCCTTCGGTCATTATTAAACCAATACCCCAGGGAGGGCCCTTAATTGTACCCTGGGACATTGGTTTAATAATGACCAAAAGAATGTGCTTCTTACTTCCCCAGAAATACTTACAGCAGCCTGCTTTATTTTTTGGCAATCTCTGATTCAAGTAATTGCCCAAGCCCCACCAGGCTTAGATGGTGAGAGCTCTGATTAGTCTTTGATGGTCTGGCTGCAGGCAGAGTGCTACTTCTCAGGAAATCACGTTTGCAGCCATGGACACTAATAGTTAAACATTCATGGCCTTTATGTTGGCCAGTGTTGCATTAGAAATGCAGTGAACCACCAACTTTCCAAAAATGTTAAAGCGATAAATTGAAGTGGAATGTGCCTTAATATTTCAGCATCAACTTATGGCAGACTGAAAATTCTCCCTTTAAGATGCAGATAGATAGTGGCATGTGCAAAAGTAAAGGCTTCTTCCTTACATTTCCTGGTTCCATATTTGCACTGGGAAACAGCTTTGACTATTTGACAAAACATTTCCGGTGTAGCTCCTGTCACGGAGTCCCTGGGCGATGCTCTGGAACTGTTCCCCATGAAGCCAGACAGGACTCCGGGGAAGTCTCCTCTCTGGGAGCAGACTGTCGTCAGGACGCAAAGCTCACACAGCTTTCACCTTCCTGGGTCTGACCTCTGAGCATTCAGCATCCTCTGCCCCTCCGTGCACTTCCCACAGCGAGTCCGCTCAGGCGGGGCTCCTGGGGAAGCCAGAGGGTCCTGCACCCCAACTTCGCAGTCAGATGTGACTCTCAGACAGCCAGTAAAACAAACGTTTATTAAACATGGTCTAAAACAGAGCTTGCAGGTGCAGAGAACAGGACCCCTCAGCTGGGTCCATTTTGGGGGGCAGTGAGCCAGACAACCACGTCTGCCCTTCACTCCATGTCCCAGCCAGCCCCAAACTGAAACTCCCTCCAGCCCCTCCTCCTCTGGGCTTTGTTCCTTTCCCAGGCCAGGAGGTCACCTGATTCCTTTTTTCTCCAACCCTTTAGCTCTCACCTTGCAGGGGGGAAGGGCCCAGGCCATCAGTGGCCAGGAAACCGGGTGTCGACCATTCTCTGTGTTCAGACTCCTGCACACACCTGCCCTCTAGGGCTCTGCAGTGATCATACACCCTTATCCCACCACCTAGATACTTAAGAACTGCATAGGGGAAACTGAGGCACCCCCACACTATTCAGAGGGAACATTAAGAACAGTCCCACTTCATCACAGCTCCTTTGGAGTAAATGAAGAGGAAATTAATAGGCAGCAGGTTTAAAACAAAACAGAAGGAAGCATTTCTTCACACAACACACAGTCAACCTGTGGAACTCTTTGCCAATCAGTGGTTATTAGCCAGGACGGGCAGGGATGGTGTCCCTAGCCTCTGTTTTCCAGGAGCCGGGAATGGGTGATGGGATGGATCACTTGATGATTACCTGTTCTGTTCATTCCTTCTGAAGCACCTGGCTTTGGCCACTGTCGGAAGACAGGATACTGGGCTAGATGGACCTTTGGTCTGCCCCAGTATGGCCGTTCTTATACAGCAAGGAGAAATTTAAAAAACCTTGTGTTTATAGTTGGTGCAGTGATCCAGTAACTATCACTATTTTGTTTTGGCTACAATAAATACAAATTTAATTAAAAACAAATTTGTTTGGTGGGATGCACACTCAAATTAATTTCTCTCTTTGGCTTTAAACAGAACGAATGCCGCATGTTTCGTATTCAGTTTGGTGGAGATTCAAAAGAGCAGGCGCTGGAACACTGCTATAATTGTGTGCAGAAACTTGCAGACTATGTAACAGTTCAGGTAACAGATGAGCAAAGCCAAGAGCTGCACCAAGGTCATAGTCAGCTGGCTAACCGTGAAAGTCAAGTGAAGGACTCCGAACAAAATCCATCCATGCTGCATGGAGTAAGCCGGAAGAGTGTGTGTGTGAAACTGAGAAATATAATGGTTGCCTAATTTAAGTGCCATGTCCATACTCCTTCAAGCCAGTGGTTTTCAACCTTTTTTCGTTTGAGGACCCCTACAAATTTCAAATGGAGGTGCGAACCTCTTTGGAAATCTTAGACATAGTTTGCGGACCCCCAGATGTCCGTGGACCACAGGATGAAAACCACTGCTTTAGGATGTGTAGTCTAATAAGAATATGGTCCTTGTGTGGTTGTTGGGTATAAGACATCACTATTTTAATCCTGTTGTTTTAGTACAAATTTTTGAAAAGAGGCATTTCATCTATGCATTTGTCCAGAAACAAAACTATGCTATCTGCTAATGTAGTATCTTATTGACAAGCAGACCAATATTAAGATAAACCCTTTATTATGAACAAGAACTATGTATAGCAATGAGGTAACAAACTTCCTACTACTCTGTAGCTGCAGCCTGTGACTCCTGTATCCTGGGCTTCTTTGTTTCTGCCCAGCAGGAAGTATGTCACATTGCACTTTTTGATACTGTCTCACATGACCTTCTCATAAATAAACTAGGGAAATATAGCCTAGATGAACCTACTACAAGGTGGGTGCACTACTGGTTGGGAGAGCATTCTCAGAGTAGTTAATTAATGGTTCTGTAGTGAGGTCTTCGACATTGGGGAGGCCTCATCTGGAGTACTGTGTCCAGTTTTGGGCCCCACACTACAAGAAGGATGTGGAAAAATTGGAAAGAGTCCAGCGGAGGGCAACAAAAATTATTAGGGGACTGGAACACATGACTTCTGAGGAGAGGCTGAGGGAACTGGGATTCTTTAGTCTGCAGAAGAGAAGAATGAGGGGGGATTTGATAGCTGCTTTCAACTACCTGAAAGGGGGTTCCTAAGAGGATGGATCTAGACTGTTCTCAGTGGTAGTTGATGACAGAACAAGGAGTAATGGTCTCAAGTTGCAGTGGGGAAGGTTTAGATTGGATATTAAGAAAAACTTTTTCACTAGGAGGGTGGTGAAATACTGGAATGCTTTACCTAGGCAGGTGGTGGAATCTCCTTCCTTAGAGGTTTTTAAGGTCAGGCTTGACAAAGCCCTGGCTGGGATGATTTAGTTGGGGATTGGTCCTGCTTTGAGCAAGGGGTTGAACTAGATGACCTCCTGAGATCCCTTCCAACCCTGATATTCTATGCTTCTATGCCTTATTGGAAAAATCTGGGAGGTGGGTAGGCACAAGCACGCCCACTTCTAAAGGCCCTTCACCCAGCCTAGCGGGAGGGACCACTGGACCTGGGTTCTAACTGATTACTTGACAACTAATGAGAAAACAGGGGTCGGAGTGATGGTCATAGGTTCAAAACAAGGGTACCGGATGGGGACACCAAGCAGAGGACCCCGGACAGCTCCCACTGCTCCTCAAAGGGAGCCAGCGGATGCTGCCCAAAGGAACTTTGCCCGGAGGCGTGAGACAATTGACCCTACAATTGCAGAGCATCCCCTCATCCAGCATCCAGCTCCTGGTATTAAAGATGGCAACCTTTGTGAGGACCAGGAGGAGGTTAATGAGGAGATCTTGTGACTTTGTGGGGCCACAGACAGGGTGTGCGAAAATGAATAAGTGCAGGGAAAAGTGCAGCCAGAACCTCAGCAAGAGGTTCTGGAGGAGCTGGAAGAGGGGCTGCAACCTGGCGCATTCAAGATCGGTGTGTGCCAGGTTCTCCCTCACGCCGTAGAACGGGAAAGCATCAGAAATGGGTGTGAACAGCGCCAGCTACACACCTGTGCTCACGGATCCGTAAAGGAGCCACCAACCGATGTGCCCGGCAGGCCGTGGGACCAGGGTGGAATAGATACTGGCCCACCGGGGCTCCTCACCCTCTACAGATGATAAGTAGTCCTGCCATTTGGTGTCGGAGCAGGAGACAAGGGTGAGGAAATGCAACATGTGGAGCACGAGCATGTATAGGGCGTGGTTCGGAAGTGAATCAGATGCAGGGCATGCAGCTGGCTCGAAGTATGGGAGTGGGGAGGCTGGGGGAGGTTCACGGAACAGGGGCCCGATAAAAAGGTCCGGAGGGCCTGGGGTGAGGATGGACAGGGAGCCTTAACTTAAGGCCCGCCCCAGGAAGATGAGAGAAGTGGGTGACAAGGTAGCCCCCACCTCCTGGAGTACGCGCAGGGAGGTTGGAAGGGTGAAGAGCCCCATACGCCGACCAAGCACCCGGGGATCCTCCCAGTCCCCCCGTCATAGTGCAGGAGGTCTCTGACCCTGTTGATTTCTGCCAGGACAAAACTCTGGCGCATCGAGGGAGACTCCGTCACATGCACATGTAGATCAGGGTTGTGTAGCAGAGGCTCCGCAAGGAGGTCTGCCCCCTCGGTGGCCACAATGGACCTGGTCGCCGAAAAGAGCTTCCAGGTCTGGAGGAGGGCCTGGTAGAAGGCCGGCAGCTTGGAGAGGTCTCACGGAAGACCCCTGCCAGTCTTATTGGAGCCGTTGGAGGCGGCGGAGGAAGGCATGTGCCAACATGCTCCACGCCAGACTACCTGTACCATAAAGGAGTCTCTGCAGGGCCTGGAGGCGGAAGACAGACCTGGCTGCGAAGGCAGACCATGCCCTGCCCTCCCTCCTCCAGGGGAAGACTCAAGACCCCTGCAGAGACCCAGTGCAGTCCTGGCCAGAAAAACTCCAGGGCTGTCCTCTGGAGCCTGGCCAGGATCCCCAGGGCCAGGCTCAGGGTGTTGAGCCGGTGCCAGAGCATGGACAGGACTAGCTGGTTCAGCACCAGCACTCTCCCTCACAGGGAGAGACACTGGAGCAGTCCTGTCCATCTCTGCAGCCGCTCACCCACCCTAGGCTCCAAATCCTGCTAGTTCTCTAGTGGAGAAGGATGCGTGGCGGAAAGAAAAACGCCAAGATAGAGCACCAGATGGCTTGAAGTGTGGGTGAGAGGGAACTCGCCTGCCACCCGTCCCCAACCACCAGGCCAGAGCTTTTGACCCAGTTGACCAGAGCAGAGGAGGCCACTGAGTAGATGGCCTGGCAGGCCTCGACCCGCACCAGGTCACCTGGGTCCTGGACCATGAGGAGCACGTCGTCAGCGTACACCAACAGGACCAGCCGCAGCTCCAGCTCCCGAAGCACCAACCCCATCAAACTCCGGTGGAGGAGACAGAGGAAGGGCTCGATCGCCAGAGCGTACAGCTGGCCAGGGAGGGGGTCTGTAGCGAGGCGGTGTGGTTCCCTGCCACCCCGGGGAGGGACGAGCCCCTCCGGACACTAAAGGGGCAGAGCCAGTGACTCCTGCGCCCACCCCCCAGAGGTCAATGCGCAGGACAGGAAGTATAAAAGCCCAACCCCAGAGCTCACTGGAGGAGCAGCCACCAGAGAGGCCAGTTGCCTGCAGCCTAGCTCCCGGTTGGGAGACTCCAGCAACAGGCGGCAGACCCAAAGACTCACCCGCCTGACCAATGCCTGCCCCTCGCCAGTTACCCAGAGGAGCTGCCAAGCCTACCCCTCGCCAGTTACCCTGAGGAGCCCATGGTACTTGACCCCCCCGGAGGACACCGTCCGGACCCAGGTACCTCTAGAGGGGGAGTTAGGAATTAACCCGGGGGCATCCAACCCTAGCCTGGCTGTATCACTGCCAGAGCCTATGTCAATGTGTTGCAGCCAGGATCCCCACGACTCAGCAGCAGGCCTTCTGCTAGGATGCAGTGGAGTGGGTGGGCCTACTTCCCCCCCTGCCACCCAACTTGTGGGTGGCAGTCTCCCCCTCTCCCTGGCCCCTCTGAGCTAAGAGCCTGGGCTTGTTGTTTACCTGCTTTTGCTCAGCTTCTGCCTGAGGACCTGAGCCCTTGACTCGCTATTGCCGCCAACCACGGGCTGGTACAAATAACTGTCTGTGTTTGACTTTATTGCTCCATGGTGAGAGACTCCCACAACCAGGCTAATACACCGTCAAGAACTGAAAGGACGTAGCAAGGCAGGGTGGGCTCCCGCCGCCCCGGAGAGGGACGAGCCCTGGCCAAACCTCTCCACATGTGAAGAATGTGGGCAGCAGTCCCCTGATCCCTGTGAGAAGGGGTCTTAGGAGGAACGTGCCCAGGATGGCCATGGATATGGACAAGCTCATTAAGTTCCTGGCTAAGAGCCAGCAGCAGCAAGCGGCAGCCCAGCAACAGCAGCTGGTCCAGCAGTTAGGGGCACAACAGCAACAGCTGATTTTGGAGCTGGGACACCAGAACCAGGACCACCAGCAACAATGCCTGCAGCAGTTGGCAACTCTGCTCCCCTGTCCTGCAGAACCCCAGCCAGGAGACACCGTTGGGCTGTCCAGTGTAGCCCGCCGATCCAGTTGACCAAGATGGGCCCCAACAATGAACCCAAGGCCTCCCTTGTGATCTTTGAGAGGGTGGCATTAGTCGTGGGGTGGGTCCAAGACCAGTGGGCCACCCTCCTGGCCCCGTATCTGCCCAGGACCACCACACACTGTGTACTGCAGACTATCGATGGAGGAGGCACAGAGTACAACCAGGTAAAGGCAGCAATTCTAGATGCCTTGGACGTCAGCCCGGAAACCTTCTGGCAGCGGTTCTGGAGTCTGACATTCCCTACGGATGCGCGACCTTGGTTGGTGGCCCAAGAGCTGAGGGAGGCATGCAAGCAATGGCTACAGCCCAAGAGGCGAACACCAGACGAGCTCACTGAGCAAGTTATTATGGAACAATTTGTCCACATGCTCCCACCGCAAGGAAGGGCCTGCGTCCTCCGCCATTGGCCTGCGACACTGGCTGCCGCCGTCACTCTGATGGAGGATTTCCTCGCAGCTGAAGCCCTGTGGGGACTGGTGATTTGAGCCCACACACCAGGGCCCGAGCGCCCTAACTTAAAGAAGAAGGGGAGCTCCCGGACCGAACTACGAAACCCTTCACGGGGCCAGGAGCCCCGCTATAGCAGTCCGGAGGTGCCGGTTCGACAAGCCCCAGCGACTGCTGAGCCAGGGGTCAGGAGGACCAATCGAAGCCCCCCAAGGGGCCCTGTGGGGACATCTGCCCAGCCTGGGCATCCAGAGCTCGGACCCTGTTTCTTCTGTGGGAAATACGGACACCTACAGCGTGACTTCACTGAGATGGACTGCAACTCCGGTCACATTTGTGCAGGAGAAACCCACGCCTGATGGCCACACCCCACCAAGATTACAGTGCCAGTAGTTGTTGGGGATTGCCCGACCCTGGCCCAGATTGATTCAGGATGCGGCCAGATGCTCATTTGCCAAAATTTAGGCCTTCCAGCTGACCTGCACCTGGGGATGATTCGACTGCAATTCATCCACGATGATGTCTGGCCCTACCCCAGTGCCCGAATCCGGCTAACCATTGACGGAGTCATGCGGCTGATGGTGGTCGGCCTGGCTCCTCAACTAGCCTACCCGGTGATCCTGGGACTTGATTGGTCCTAGTGACCAGAGGTCTTTCACTCAAGTGCTGAGAAAGGCCCTGAGGTCACCCTAGCACCTGGAGGGGGCTGCCCCGAGACCTGCTCCAAGGAGCCGGAGGAACCAGACCCCAACGGACAGGGAGGAGAGCCTAAGGACCCCCCGGCGGGGCCCGCCGTCGAACCCATGCTTAGCACCGACTTTTGCCAGGACCAAAGGGAGGACCCCACCCTCAGTCAAGCATATGAACAGCTAGCAGCCGTCGATGGGACTCTGATCGATCAGTCCCAGACAAAGTGGTGGCCCCATTTCGAGTTTCGCTGCAACCACCTCTTTTAGGCGGAATGAGACCCTCACAACGGAGAGCTCCAGACCCAACTTCTTGTGCCTTAATGTCACCGACGAGCTGTAATGAAACTCGCCCACAGCATCCCGGCCGCAGGGCACTTGGGCCATGAAAAGACCCTCGCCCGAATTTTGACGAGGTTCTTCTGGCCCGGTGTACACCAGGAGGTGAGAAACTATTCTAGTTCCTGTCCAGAATGCCAGCTAGCCTGCTCCGCCATGGACGCCCAAGGTCCCATTGATTCCCATGCCCATTGTAGAAAAGTCGTTCAAGTGAGTAGCCATGGACTTGGTGGGCCCCCTTCCGAAAAGTATTGCCAGATTTCAGTACATACTGGTCATCATGGACTATGACCTGTTTCCCCGAAGCAGTACCACTATGGAGCATCACTGCCCGAACAGTTGCTGATTAACTCTGAAGGTCTTCACCTGCGTGGGCCTGCCCTGGGAAATCCTCACTGACCAGGGCACCAACTTCACCTCCCAGCTGCTGCAGCTGATGTGCAACCTGGGGATTAAGCAGCTGCGCACCTCCATATATCACCCACAAACAGATGGCTTGGTTGAATGGTTTAACCGTACTATGAAGGACATGCTGTGCAGTTTCCCCCAGGTGACCTACACCGAGGGGATCAGCTACTCCTGCCCTTGCTTCTGGCCATCTGTGAGGTGTCTCCATCCCCCTTATAAGAGAGTCACCAATCACCACTACCCTACATTTCCTCCTGGGGGGAATCAGAATTGTAGGACTAGAAGGGACCTCAAGAGGTCATTTAGTCCAGTCCCCTGCACTCATGGTGTTTGTTTAACCTGTTCATAAAAATCTCCAATAATGGAGATTTCACAACGTCCCTAGGCAATTTATTCCAGTGCTAAACCACCCTGACAGGAATGTTTTCTAATGTCCAACCTAAGCCACCTTTGCTGCAATTTAAACCCATTGCTTCTTGTCCTATCCTCAGAGGCTAAGGAGAACAAATTTTCTCCTTCCTCCTTATAACAACCTTTCATGTATTTGAAAACTGTTATTGTGTCCCCTCTCAGTTTTCTCTTCTCCAGCCTAAACAAACCCAGTTTTTTCAATCATCCTTCATTGGTCATGTTTTCTAGACCTTTAATCATTTCTGTTGTTCTTCTCTGGACTGTCTCTAATTTGTCCACATCTTTCCATAGTTGCCCCAAAATTGGGCACAATGTGGCCTAATCAGCATGTAGTAAAGAGGAAGAATGACTTTTTGTGTTTTGCTTACAACACTCCTACTATTGCAGAATGAAGTTTGCTTTTTTTGCTATAGTGTTACACTGTTGACTCATATTTAGCTTATGGTCAACTATAAGCCCCAGATCTCTTTCTGCAGTACTCCTTCCTAAGCAGTCATTTCTCATTTTGTGTGTGTGCAACTGATTGTTCCTTCCTAAGTGGAATACTTTTCATTTATCCTTATTGCACTGATTGAACTGTGATTTTATTAATTTAAATTCTGTTTTGATACTTTCCAGCCAAGTCATGTTATAGATAAACCTCCAGCCCAGTCATGCACAAACTTTCCAGAGAGACAGAGATCCGTGACAGAGCTAGCACAGGTAGAGTCAAACACTGTCATATGACAAGACACCGCTTCTCTCTGGCAGGGAGAGACAGTTTATGGCAGGCTATATGATATTAAGTTTTTCCTATGTTGATGATGTACCAGCTTGTTCAGTGAAACAGTAACTTGCAGACATCAAGACAGAAGCACACAAAGACCATACACTGAGAAAAGGGCAGGACCTTGTGTGTCTGCTGTTGAGTAGCCATGGACTTGGCTGCAGAACCTCAGATTTCACTCTAATTAACATTCAGGCCCTTATGGCTAGAAAGAAAAATATTAGATGCACTTAAACCAATCTAGTGTGCTGAGACAAATTCCAATTTTTACTTAACTGTGGGCTGGTGAATAAATTTAGAAACACATACTAACCTTGATCCAGAACTGCCACTGCTATCAATAGAAAGTTCAAAGAACAAGGTAGAGTGGCATGTATATAGTAACTACATTTTTTTATTTGTTCAGTACCTTATCACATTCAGTATCAGTAAGACAACATGGCACTATTATTCTTGTCCCTTGTTTCTGTGTCTTTCCCCTACACTTCCTTCCTAGCAACAGCTCCCAGTTCCCTGTGGGCTTCACGTCTACCCTTTTACCCTATTTCCACTACCCATGTGAAGGGCCGTGGAATAGTAAAACTTTCCTTAGAAGTCATTGGCTTTAGAGTTGATAGTTCAGTGACATTAATAGGGGCCTAGGAGTTCACCCCTCTCAAAGCTATTGATTTCCGTAGACATCAATGCATGGGTTAGTGTCTGTTCATGTTTGGAAGGTTGTTTTTGCAACCGGGAACCCTAAACTTTTTTTAAACACAGTGGAGATTTTGCATTAGGTGAATGGCATATAGGCCTCAAATATATCACAGCCTAGATCTAGCACACAGGCTGTTTCTCACCTGTGTACTGGTCTGTTTGCAAACTATAGAATACTTCCATCAAAATGCTAAAGCCTAATGCTAATTTGTCAGCTGTAGTATCAGAGGGAGGAATGTGGCCACTGTCCACTCCTTAAGTTGACAGTTGGAGTGGGCCACTGATTCTCTCACAATGGCAATCTCAGTTAGAGACATTAATTCTGAAAGCAGAATGGGGTCTGCTCTGGAAGTTGCCTTGCTGTGGTAAATTAGAGGTTCACCAAGAACAGTAGATGTGCTGTAGACAGCTACACATGCTTGTGCAGCATGGGGTGGAGGCAAGCTGAGGGTCAGCTCTATTGCATGGCTGTGAACTCCAATGCATCAGACACACTCTCCTCTGACCATCTTCTCTCCCCCCCCCCCCCCAGCTCCTGCATGACACTCTTACGTTGGCTGCTTTGAGAGCCATCTAGTTACTAAATTGTCTAAACACAGACTAAACTTTTTAAGAATATATATATCATCCTAGTCTAATCACACACATCTCTGATATTTATAATACCTGCTCCAGGTCAAAGGTTTTTGGGAGCAGGGCAGTAGCAATTATTGAGACTTTTCTCATGACATACACAGTAGTTACACACTGCAGCCATTACTACAATTGCTAGAACTTTTAGATTGCTCTTACTTGATTATACCAGGTAATGTTCTCCCTTTTGGAAAAACAACTGCTTTTCTATGTCCACTGAGATTGTATCAAGCAGTCAAATAATCCTTTACTGGTTTGTGTGCTTTCAAGTCAGCTGTTAAGATACATGGGGGGAGGGAATAAACATGGGTAAATAGTTCAACATGTTTATTCCCCCCTGCCCCCACCATTCCTCAGACGTTCTTGTCAACAGCTGGAAATGGCCCACCTTGATTATCACTACAAAAGGTTCACCTCCCCGCCCCTGCTCTCCTGCTGGTAATAGCTCATCTTAAGCGATCACTCTCCTTACAGTGTGTATGGTAACACCCATTGTTTCATGTTCTCTATGTATATAAATCTCCCCACTGTATTTTCCACTGAATGCATCCGATCAAGTGAGCTGTAGCTCACGAAAGCTTATGCTCAAATAAATTGGTTAGTCTCTAAGGTGCCACAAGTACTCTTTTTCTTTTTGCGAAGATTTAGTTGTGTGACAAAGTTCCTCCTCAGCCTTGGTGGGTCCTGGGCTTATTGGCAGATTTTCTCACTGCAGTTTGGCCACTTTCATGGCTCAAATCTGCCATTCACTCAAATCTGCCATTCATCACTGGCCAACATAGGGAAAGGAATAACAATCCCCACAGTCTCTGCTGATCCACCTAGTGGATCGGGGAACAGGCCAGACACCTTCCCCTCTAGTGGAACCCACAGTCCAGTTCAACTCCTCCGATATCAAGCAGGGAGTTGGAGGGATGGGGGGAACCCGGGCCCTCCCTCTACTTCAGGTTCCAGCCCAGGGCCCTGTAGATTGTAGCTGTCTACTGTGGCTCCTGTAACAGCTGTGTGACAGCTACAACTCCCTGGGCTACTTCCCTGTGGCCTCCTCCTAACACCTTCTTTATTCTCACCACAGGACCTCCCTCCTGATGTCTGATAATGCTCATACTTCTCAGTCTTCCAGTAGTATGCCTTCTCACTCTCAGCTTCTTGCGCTTTTTGTTTCTAGCTCCTCACACACACCACAAACTGAAGTGAGCTCCTTTTTAAATCCAGGTGCCCTGATTAGCCTGCCTTAATTGATTCTAGCAGCTTCTTGATTGGCTGCAGGTGTTCTAATCAGCCTGTCTGCCTTAATTGTTTCCAGAAGGTTCCTGATTGTTCTGGAACCTTCCCTGTTACCTTACCCAGGGAAAAGGGACCTACTTAACCTGGGGCTAATATATCTGCCTTCTTTCACTCTCCTGTAGCCATCTGGCCTGACCCTGTCACATTATGCGCAAATAAATTTGTTAGTCTAAAAAAAAAACAAAAAAAACCTTCCCTGTTACCTTACCCAGGGAAAAGGGACCTACTTAGCCTGCTCTCCGGCCTAGGCTTTCCTTGCTTTTACCCCTGTTTTTGGCTTCCCCCCAACCGAGCCAGACACTCTCCCCCCTTTCTTTTCTTTTTGTTGTTGTTTTTTCTTTCTCCGCTGTTACTAGAGTGCTGGCCGGCTGTTAGCCCCGCCTGCCCTCGGACGCTGCTGCCGCTCCAGCTGAACCCCCCCTTCCCCCCCCCCCCGAGAGAGGGGGGGACCTGCCGGCCCACTTCCCCGGAACAGGGGAGTGGAAGGACCCAGACCCAGCTGCTTGCTGTTTGTCTGCGGCTGAGAGAATTTCTTATCATCCACTCTGGCATCCCTGGAATGCGAAAAAGAAAACCCGGAACAGATAAACAGCCGTCTACTGGAGGAACGCCGCCCGGGGAATCTACAAATCGCCGCAGAGGGGGCCCAAGACTGAGTAACTTTCGAACTGTGCTCTCGTGTGGGGGGAGGCCTTGACTGTGTCGTGACTGTGTTTGTAGGGACACAGGGGGTGTGGCACGGAGCTGCCCCCTGGTCCATCTGGCTCTGGACTTAGCTGCTCGCCCTGATTCCACCATGTGGGCCAGAAGCACCAGCCAACCAAACAGGACTCTCTGGACAAGTGTACAGTGGTTCATGTGCCCCCCACCCCAAACTGCCCATCCCACAGCCTGTCCCTTTTTACCTAACCCCAACTCCTGTTAACCACCTGCCACCGCCCCCACTGGGGCATCGGCAATGGAGGGCACCGGGGTGACCTCCGCTGCTGCAATGCCCACCACCTCCCCAGACTCTAGGGGAGCCCCCCCCAGCCCGCGGGAAAGGCCAGGGCAAGAACAAGGGGAAGGGCCCCGCTAAAACCACCAGGCCCTCCGTGGCAGGGGCCACCCCCACTGCTGCGGCCCCGCCACCGACCACAGCGTCCCTCCCCGCTGCCCCCTCCACCGGCTCTGTGGGTGTCCCTCCCTCACCTTCCAGGATGTATTCCTGGGCGGCAGCAGCCCCCCCACCTGTCGCCTCATCATCTCACCCGCCCACCACCTCCACCACCATCAACAGCGGCCGGGGCCCCTTCCCCACCATGACAAGTAAGCATGGTGTCTGATGCCTCCTGGTGCCCGCCTCGCCCCACGTGGAGACCTAAGTGCGGGCGTTGGCGAGGGTGGTGGGGCCCTCGGCCATTTTGGCAGCCTCCAAAATGTATGGGAAGGTCATCTTCTTCTTAGCATCAGAGGCTGCCGCCGAGGAAGCGGTGGAGAGGGGCCTGGTGGTGGTGGGGTGTTTGTCCCCCTAGAGCCGCTGGAGGACCTGGGCATCCACCTGGTCCTGACCCCTGTCCCTCCTTTTCTTCCCAGTGCTGCCCTGTTAGTCGCCCTTTCCACCCTGGGGAAACCTGTTTCTGTCATCAGCCCTCTCCCGTTCGGCTGCAAGGACCCCACCCTCCGTCACATCTTTTCCTTCCACCAGCAAGTGCAGCTTCTACTGCCGTCGGCGGCGCGTGATGGAGAGGCGCTCGAGGGGTCCTTCCGAGTCCCCCCCCAGGGGGCCCTTTACCGGGTGTATTTCTCCACGGGGGAAGCCCGGTGCTACCTCTGCCAGGAATCGGGGCATGTCCGGAGGGACTGCCCCTTAGCCCGGCAAGAAGGGGCACCTGTGATCCCTGAGACCCGGCAGGACATCGGCCCAGTCATTGCCGACGCCCCTGGCTGCCCGATACCCGAATTCGCCCCCCTCCTCTTCGGACCACCACTTCTCCCACTCAGGCCCAAGGAGCACCTCCCCTACGACGCCCAGACGAGCGGGAGAGCCCCGCCCTCGCTGCTGACAGTCTGGCGGGGCCTATAGAGGAGGGTGTGGCAGAGATACCACCAAGCATGTGAGAGATCCTGCCCCAGGAAGAATCCTCCCTCCCTTATGCAGCCCCACCGTACCTCCCCAAGTCCCTGAGCCATCGCCTTTACCCCCTGATACGACCCCTGCTAACCAGCCCCCAGATGATGCCATTGAGGGCTGGGCCCTAGTCCAGGAGAAGCAAGGCAAGCAGAAGGCTTGAGCTCCTCCTCATCTACCCGAGGCGGAGGCCCCCCGAAAGACCAGGAA